TGCCGGCAATCGGGTTTGCCACAGTACCCCGAATGTTGACATTTGTTACGGTGTGCAATCTGATAACGCCTGCCAGAATCCGATATGGCCCCCGGGTTGATCTAGCGCATTTACCACGTGACCCGTTTTGGGGTCACAGGAAGCATATACACAGAGCCATATAGACGCATTCGCGCTTTCGGTGGACAAGCCAACCAGCACAGTCCCCTGTAGTTTTTTGGGTGATTTGATGACAGAACCGAAGAAGATCCTCCTTTGGCCAGTCAATTCCATTTTATAGAATGAGTTTCAATAGTCCGAAATTATGAAGAAAATAGCGTCCAATGATGTTATTAAAAAGCATGCCCGATTTGTTTTTACGCACCGCAAATTTTGTCGAAAAAGGTCGTTGTCTGCACAAATGGCTCCTATATAAGTGTAATGTTTTTAGATTTCGCATTGGTAAATAGAGTCTTCATCGGATTAGGCTAAAATCAGAAATAATCGAATTTAAACGAATTTAAAGCATTATTTTTTCCGAAGGCTGTCGTTGTGGGTAGACGTAAGGTACTTGTTTGAGCTTAGTCGTTTTAATCGATGGATTTTTCATATGAGAAAACTTCACGGAGTCTGCCCTGACTGCCCATGAGAAACGCGCAGAATAATGCTGCTACCCTGTGTAATGTCGATAACACGAGTAGTAAGTGCGTTCGATTTTAAAATGTCCAATGACAAATTCGACTCGGGTTCAAACCAGTGAAGCGAATTGTGACTGACTGATGACAGCTAAAAATAACGTGTTTGAGAAACCTAACAAATGTCCCTGTTGTGGGTATGAAGGGCGGTTGTCCAGACCATTCATAATCATTCATTCATAATCACTTCTGTTTCAATTTTCTTATTTTTCTTATTTTATTGCTTTTTTACTGAGAGACCGCAAAGCCGATAGTCGACATTTTTCACCGGTAGGCATGCGTCACAAGAGGAAGATTTAAGCCGTTTGCTCGTTTTGTGACGAAGTCCTTCATACTATGAATTCTCGAAATAATTTTA